GCGCGTTGCGCCGCACAGCCTTGATGTTTTCCCTACGCGCACAATTTCAAGCGAAATAACCACGACAACTGAAATAAATACACAGAGAACCAAAAGGCAAATAAGTATAAACAGTGTCTCCATACAACAGCGCAACTTCAACGGGCTTTCTTTCAACAGCAATGGTCTTTGTTTCTCCTTCGTTCCTTTACTTCCATGGGTTAAGTCTTCTTCTGCATTTTGGGTTCAGATTCATGTTCCACGCTCTTTGAAAGTTTGTTTTCTGGAACAATGTGCTCTTTTGTTTCTTCGGGGCATGAGACTGGGCGAAATGCGGAGCCCATGGCCGCATCATTGACCAGAATTGCAGAATATTTTGGTGGGTTAAGCAATATACTCTGCATTGATCGACTGACTGATGGCAGGGGAACATTACTGCCCATTGCCCAACAATGTTATGAACCTCCGCGAATTTGGGAGCAGAAACACTTTAGAGAACATGACGCGCAAAAGCATATGCGATACATCAAGTATATTTTTGTGTTTCCAATGTACATTGCTCACAAATTTCCATTAAATATTCCATTCAAAGTACTTGTTGACATTTCTGTACTTGCTGGATGTGCATTGGTGCAACAAACAGACAATTTCGACAGTAAAATGCGTCGACCACTTGCGTATACCACTCTTGCCAAAGCATGGATCGAATCAATGCAAATCGCGTCCTCGTGTGTTTGCTTCTGTTCCATGGGCGTTACGTGCCGTGCGCGAAATGCAACGGGCTTTTTTCATCCCGCGCCACTTGGCCTTGACTTTTCCTTCGAGCCGCGCCCTCCAATTGAAATATCCACGGCTTCTGCACTCACCCTACCCCTCATCCTACCAAGTCGTACAGTTCTGCATCAGAAAACGACCCACAGTACTTTCCCGTGTACTTCACGGCACTGCTACATCAAAGTACTGCCAAAGTGCTTTCGCAACCTGATTTTCTCAAGTTTTGGCGCACCAGAAGCTGAGCGAAACGCACTGTTTCGGTGATTAGCGGCGGCGTTGAGGTGGAACGATTTACCTCAGTACTTTATGCAGTACTGTGATCTACGACAGGGCGATGGAATTACAACAGATTCCTCGCCTAACTCAATACTTTATCGCAATATCTGTTGCAGTGCGCTACCTCAGAACGCATTTATGGGTACAACACCGTACTTTGTCTTAGCACCGTTGTAACATAGTCACAGCGGTACTTCGCTACAATATTTCATGTCAGCGCCGTCGCGATGCAGCAACAACTGTGCTCTACCACAGTGCTTACGAGCAGTATTGATGACTACACAGTAGTAGTTTACCCCAGTGCTTTGCGCCCCGTGCTCAGGCGTCTTTCAAGCTGGAACCCAAGCTGGACATCAAGGAGGACGGCTCCATTGACTTTGGGTTGAACTTTAGCGCTGACCCTTCGGTGGAGCCGGCTCCATTTTCGCCCGACCTTCTCCCCAAAAAGGTCAGCCGATGTACATCACACCTGCAGATGAATTACAAAAAACACAGATAAATATGGGAAGCCGTTAAAAAATGTCACACAAGAAACACTGCAATGCAATATGAGATAACAAGCAACAAGAAAAGCGACAACAGCAGCAAGAAATCGCTGTGGTAAATAAGTGTGAAGCACGTCAGAATTGACTACAAAAAGAGGTCCGCTTGGAGTGGGAATGACCGCAATGGCCAAACAGGCGGTGGCCTCTAACGCCCAAGTCCCTTAAAGCAGCCTAAGCGACTTGATAATATCTCAGTTAGTTAATGGTCAGTTTAATATTAAACTATTCATTAGTAATAATAATATATTTATTAAAAATTTTTAATTAATTGACCGAACGAGGTGAATAAGTTTTCCGAATTGATGGCTGCCAGGTGAGAATCATATGGGAGGCCATCATGGAGGTCAAGTCCGCCATCCAGGCCGTGGCTGAGGGCATACCGGCGATCAAGGAGCAAATCGAGGCGTTTGCCAATGAGGTGAAGGCAAAGCGCCGGGCACATTGGACCACCTGCGCGCCCAAACTACTGGACAGTCGCACTGAACCGAATCAAATTATGTGGCGCTAGTTCAGCATGCTAGAAATTTGGTTAGTGGTGCATCTTTTTTTTTCTCCCAGTACATTAGTCGCTCTCTGCAGAGCACAGTTGTTGGCGAGAGCCCGCCCATGCACCTGCATGGCGATGCCGGGCACACGTTCGCACACATTGTTGAAGAGTGGCACCAAAAATTGAGCCATATGTGCTGTTAAATTAATCAATTACAACAATTCGATCAATTGGGACCTTCACGAGCCAAAATGAGGCTAAATTGGACATTGGTAGCACTCTATAGCATTGCCACATTGTCGCAACTCATGCAATCTGATTACCAATCAGGCGGTGGCGCTGTTGAGGAAACAGTGGCATAAGTTTTAGTACTTTGTTACAATGTACTGTGCCACTTTTGCTCGGAGGGATGAAGTATACTGCACTCTTTCAGCACTTAAAACCCGGGTGGTCTGGGCGGCGCAGGCCAAAGACCTGGCGTCCAAGGCGCCCGAGGAGCCCAAGAACTTGTCGCTGTTTTCCGCTAGTTGTTTCGCACATTACACTTATCCAACGCTTAAAAGAAAAACATTTTTAGACTATCAAAAAACTGAAAAAGCAGTGTACTCTTCCAATAGTTAAATCCGGGTCGCCTTGATGAATAGGCCAAGCACCTAGCGTCCGAGGGAGGCGAAGAACTTGTTGCTGCCTCCATTCGATCCATGCTACGTTATTAATTTACACTATTTAAAGGGCAATACCCCTTCATCCGCTTAAAACGCATTGTAAGTACTAAAGCATTACATAAAACATTATATGTACTTAAAGTGCTACTCTGCTAGTATTTAAAATCCGGGTCGTATCGATGAGCAGGCCAAAGACCTGGCGTCCAAGGCGCCCGAGGAGGCCAAGAACGCGGCCCTGGGAGTCATGGAGACCATAGCGGCCACCAAGGCTACGGCGGCGAACATCAAGGCCCTGGGCAGCGGCTCAAACGTCATCCAGACCGTCCTGGCCACTTGCAAGAAGATCGGAGACGAGTTCAAGGCCGCCGTGGAGGTTGCTGCGGCTTGAGTGGGGCGGGCTGTTCTGGCGGGGCGACAGAAATGGCAATCGAATTTGGATTTTGAATTCCGGGAGGGCTCTTTGGCGTGTGGGGAGGTTGGCGCCCTGTTTGGCGTGGCGGCGGACGCTTGAATTCGAAATAATCTCAATGTTTCAAAATGGCAAAGCGATGCAAAGCTCAGCACTTCAGAGTACTTCCTTTTGCCGTTTTGACTGAAAGGCTCTCGATTTCGAAGTTTGGGTTTCTCAGCAGTTGATTGAGTCGGCCGGTGATGGGATCCACTTTGGCGGGAAAGGTTTGGAGTCCAGTTCTGGAGTTCGAATTTCGAATTTTGAAATTTGGAGCCGTCGTTCGAGGATCGTCGCGGCCACCTCTTGGCGGCCAGGGCTTGTGCGGGCGACAGTCGGGATTTCGGATTTTTACTTTGTAAGCTTCTGGAGGCAGCGGAGCCGCGAGGGGACGGCTGAGGCGCCCCAGATTTAGGACCTATTTTTTATGCTGCCCTAGAGACGGTTTCTAGGTTTGAGATTGCATCAGAGTTGCCAGCTGCGCCCGCTGGGTAGTTGGCAGGTCGACGAACGCGGGGTCTTAGCCTGTGGACATTGTACTGTGACGCAGTTTTGGTCCTAAGCTTCTCAACCAGATTTAGGTCATAAAACTCTCAACTAGAACATCGATCTCCCTGGAACCTGGTTTGATCAGCAGAGGGCCGCGGTGCTGGTAACCAGTGTCTTATTGAAGTAACGCTCACCGTAACACTGACCGTGACACGTGAAATTATCGGTGACTTCCAGACGGGGCCATCCAGTAACAACAAATGTGTAACAGTAACTTTTTCCCCCTCTGAACAAGTCGGGCGCGGATCAGCAGCTTGTGGTGTCCCTCCTTGACTGGTGCGACATTGGTGCGGTCCCGTAGGCCCAATCGTGGTGTTGGAAACAAAGTGCCGGACGCGATGACCAATGATTCACTGGTAAAGTACTGGCTCCACAGGGGGAGTGTCTGTATTGGTAGAGTACTGGACGCAAAGGCGATTGGTTCCAATGCCAAAGTAGTAGGAGCAAGGAAACTGTCTGTAGTGTTGAAGTACTGGAAAAGACTGCCACCTCTTCATCTACCAGTGCACAGGAGCTGCGCAACTCCCTGTCCACAGGCGAGTGCACCCCGTGGCTCTCGCCCATTTTAGTTTAGTTCACTTGGAGCCTCATCAAATATTTTGAGCCTCGTTTAAATAAAAGAAAGTGATCAAACACCACCCTTTGAACCAATAATCAAGAATTGACGTCCCAACCAAAGATGCTTTCCTGTGAATGATGCGCACATCATGCTGAGAGCAAGTGGACTGATGACGTCATTCACATCGCGCGACCCACGGCATGTGAAGCCAGCCAGCCAGAGTCACACAGTACAATGCGACACAGTGCTGTTGTGCCGCTCCAGTATCGCGTCACATTACGTCATGCAATAAAACATGTGACACCCGTACACATTGCCATTGCACCGCTGTCATCACACACGCAACACCCCGCCAAAATGCAGCTCTTGCGTCATGCAACGCCACGGCACGTCATATCATAACCTCTCAGCGTGACGCGTCACGTCACTTTACGTTACGTTACGCCATGTCATATCACATTCCATCAGCATGACGTCTATTATGACGTCACATCACGTCACGTCATCCGACGCCATATAACGTCACGCAATGCCCATAACACTGGTGCACCTTGCCATCGCACCGCTGTCGTCACATTGCATCATATCACGTCATGGAGCACCCCGCCCATGTACCTCCCTGCGTCAGATTACGTCACGCCACATCCTGTCGTACTGCGTCACATGAAGTCATGGCACAACCCGCCAACGTGTCACCCTTATGTCATATTATGTCACGTCACGTCTGCCGTATTGCGCTCATGACGGCCTGCTCCCGTTCCATGATTCGCTGCAGCTTGGGGCCCTCCAGTAGCGACTCCACCTGGGGTTACCCAGCCACAACGTTTAAAAAGGTGTTGGTCAACACCAATTTGAAGATGTATTGTTCATTTAATCAACAAATGAAAGTAGAATGAAGTAGAATAAACATAAAGAAGTAAAGGTGCAGTAAGCAATCGAGCAACGTAATGATGCACCTACCGCCATGCAGTCACAACGTTGAACGTTGTAGATCATCACCAAAGTTCGGTGTTCATTTTGTACAATAGTCAACGAAGAGAACAGAATGAACACAAAGAAAGTTTCTCTGTGCATTTGCTTGTGAGAACACAACAGACAATCAGACAACATAATGATACGCCGAGGGTCACACAGCCACATTTGGAAGGCATAGCCAATCTCCAGCAAACAATCGCCCTTTCGTCAAAGTGTGTTGCAGGCTATCAGTGACAAAGTATTCTTTACTGTCATATTCATATTCATTAACTGAAAAAGATAATGTATTCCTTACCGCTTGGGGCTTTGATGCCCTTCGCAAACACACATGTCATGGCACCATGCTGATAAGCATAACGACCCCACAGACAACGGCACTCTAACTTGACCACTTGTCTGCAAATACGAACAAGGAATACATTATCTTTTCCAATTCTTTTGCACTGTGTGCAAAAGCTCTCCACATTCTGAAAAGGAGATGCACCGAGGAGATGCCTTTCTGCACATGCCGCACTGCTGAGATGCTGACCTCCACAAGCCAGCAACCAACTGGATGCTAACGTCACCTTTGCAACTTCATCACTCTTCCGCAAAATAGAGAAGAAAAACAATATCTTTCCTCTATTTTCTGCACTGTGCACAAATGCTCAGCACAAAATAACGAGAACAGCAAGAAAGTGCTTTCTACAGATCGGAGCACCTGCCGCGCCGCCGAGCTGATGACCGCCACGAGCAAGATGAGGTTGAGGGTGCCGATGGACTTGCCAAACCAGGCAGAGCTCTGCCAGTCGAGCCACAGGCTTGCCATGGCCACCAGAGAAAAGATGAGGCCGCCCCAAAACCTGCCCTGGAACATCTTGAGCTGCAGGTGCCTCACTGTGGGCTCCCCGGGGATGACCCCTTTCACACCGGCTTCCAACTGAACCAAAGGAGTCAACCATGGTCAGCTAAAGCGATGTAGAGACGATGAAATTGAAATAATCAAAATAAACGATGTAAATGGTATAGATGACATACTTGAAAAAGGTGAAGTGAAGCAAACTGAGCTGACGATTGAAAGTGATGTTCATAATGGTGGTGATGATTGGCACAAGCCATGTTTGCAGTGGTGCGATATGGCCTTGTGCTCTGCACATGGTCCAGTACTGATCCACGACTTCTGCAATTCAACATGTTCAACACATGGTTGGAATTTCCAACCATTGGTCAGCGTCAAACAGCAGGAATGACCATCAGCAGTGACAGAAATGGCACTAAGGCCAGGATGTACATCCCAAAAGAATGGTAAATGGAGGAAGGCAAGCAATGCGAGGCAGCAAACTGGAAATGCTTGAGCCACGGTTAGACTGCGTCAACTTCACACAGCAATGGCACAGCACTTTATGCATGATGAGACTGCAGGCAGCTCACTCGACAGCAGCATAGAACTTTGCGCATGGCGAGGTGGCTCACCCTGCCCAGGAACTCAGAGACCCGCTCTGCAGACGATGTGCCCAAGGGAACGAGGGTGATGAGGAAGATGCCCAGTCCAAAGACCCCAATGCGGAAGGCCCAGGAGCCCACCAGCCAGGGCAGGGCTGTTGATTTTACCAAGTAGGCATCAATGAAACTGAAGACTCCAGAGAAGACAAACAGCGACTGCAGTTGCAGACCACACCAGCAATTGAGTGTTCGACTGCTTGATTCAACTGAAAGCAGCTTAATCAATACTTGTTGATGGCATCTTGTGATTGGCTCTTTCTTGTTTGGAATGCACTTTCTCAATCACAAAGAAAAAAGTTCAATGAAGGTCATTGATTTCACCACGACTAGCAGAGTTTTGAAGGGATTTACAAACTGATTTGATCACCGTGGCTCAATCATTCTGATGGGAATTGCTGGTGCAGAGCGAAGAATTTTGCAGTCCTTAGTCTTGCCAGTATTTCCCAGGGGGTGCACATAATCTGGGACAGAAAATGGAGGGACGAATTGATTGATGGACTGAAACAATTGTGAGGGATTGGGCATTGCCGGGCAAGCTTCCAGAACTGCCAGAAAGGTTATCCCTGGCATCGCTGTATACAAATATGCTAATGTCCAACAAAATGGGTACAAGATATAGAACTGAGTGCACAGGTAACACTGTAGTCAAGTTGTAAAGTACTAAGGCCACATTGCTTTCCCACTGTGCCTAAACAGTTGTTGTCCTGTAATCTGCCGATCGCAGAGTATCGGTGCAAGTATCAGTGCACATGTGCCCAGCGGCAAGCTTGCTCACCGTGACACCTCCTTGGCTGAGGGGCAGCGGAAGGTAGTTTCTGGCATCGAGCCCCGATGCACCAGATTCTGTCAATCTGCCACCAGGGCTGCGGAAATTGTCTGACAGCAATGCTGCCTTTGAAGTAGCAAAAAGAGCAAATGTCATTCATAACATAATGAAGTGAGCATCAGACGAGTAGATGCAGGAAAAAGTGGACATATACATGAATCAAGAAAATTGCAGTTGAGAAAAGAAATGACCTGGCTGCAAATGACAAAACGGCTTCCACTGATTCCAAGTGTGACAACAGACTCCAAGCACATTTGCAAAAATTAACTTTCAGCAAATGTGGCTTTGAGGAGTTTTTCATCTAGTCTTTCCAAGTACACAACAAATACTGCACTTATTTTCCATCAAAGTCCTGATGGAAACAAAGCCACCAAAAGCAAATCTTCAACCCAAATGTGCCACAAATCGCCAGACATGTATGTACTCCGGTGGATTCAAAACAGGGCCACTCGCCTTCATCCTGCGCATGCTGTAGTCCACCAGGGGCAGCCTCATCTCCGCCTTGTTCAGCCACACACAGGCAGCGACGATGACTAAATAGGCACAGGCCGCCACACCCAGCTGCCATGCCACGCAGCCCTCTGTGGCCATGCGTGTCCCCAGCTCGTACAGGCGTGAGGCGAAGCCTGGTAGTGGAATAATGCAATCAACAACTATAAGGACGTGTAAATAACAAGTAACTAGCTTCAAGAAATCAGTACCAATTGATCGATGCTAAACTAATGTTACTAGAAATCATACAAACCTTAAGTCATAAAAATTAAGAATGGGAATCATACAAATGGGGATAATACAAACTAGAAGTCATACAAGTATGAATGGCGACCATGCAAACTACGAATGGGGATGGTCAGAAATCAATAGCAGGCACCAAACTACAAGAAAATAACAAGCGGCAATGCTGCACAGCCCAAGCAAAGAGGATCCTGATATCGGTTTCAATCGCGGCACTGCTTGTTGTCCTGAAGTGCACCTGAGAGCGTGAGGCCCAAGATGAGGAATCCTGTGCCCTCCCCCAGGCCCTGGTCCTGAATCATGCTGCAGGCGTGCCGCGTGACTGCCAGGGCGGCCAGCAGGTCGACCACAGTCTTCGCCATGAAGTGCGGCTGACTGGCAGCATAGGGCCGCAGCATGAAGGCGTTGGTCAAGGCCTGCAGCACACACATGTAAAAAATCGGCCAAAATACACGATATTCTAACTTTGTATTTTGGCCTGTATTTTGTTAGGAACATGAGCACTGGTGAAACATGGCAATGGAAGGCAGTTCAGGTGACAGGACAACGATGCATACTGCACTGCGAAGATTACACATTGTGCTTTGGAGCACATTTGGTACAGAGGTAGTGCTGCACAGTACAGGGCAGTGCAGTGTGTTGCTCTGTTGTGCTTTTCTTGGTTGTGCTGTGCCATGCAGTGCAACTGGCCAACAGCGTAGGGGCCCAGCCTGAAGGCGTTGGTGAGGACCTGCGATGAACGAGCCATTGCTGAAACATGGCAATGGACAAGGTTGAGAGATGACAGGACATTCATCCTGTGGACAACTGCATGGGGAGTACATTGTGCAGTACAGTACATTTTTGTACAGAGCTAGTGTTGCACAGTGCGGTGCATTGCTCTGAGGTGCTGTAGTTGATTGTGCAATGTCACTAACCCCAGCCGACCCAAAGTGTACGGCCACAGCATGAGGGCATTCATGGAGGCCTGAGGCCTGCAAATTCGCCAGAAATAGAATAAACACAAGAAGAAGTACACCAACAACAGTGACGATGATGTGAATGTGGCCCCTGAGTGCACTGTGTACACAGCACAGTGTGCAGTGCAGTGCAGTCCTGCTTGGAGTGCGCAGCACACAGCGCACGACATACTACACAGTACGTAGTTCAATCAGCCTATCAGCAGCACTACTGTCTCCTAAGCAGTGCGGTACTTTCAAAAGCACCTGCCGCCATGGCACCAGCATTGTACCAGCGCCTTAGCCTACTGGCTTGGCGGATGCTTGATAGGTTAAACAGTACAGCACTGGTTGCAGTTACCTGCCAGCTTCCAACCATGAGGGCCAAGATGAAGACTGTGCGTTCAACCCCCTCCTGTAACAATGAGGAACACAACATCAGCTCTGTGCCAAGACATTGCGGTTCAAGTTGCAGATACACATAATACCTGATGTGAGTTCTCACCAGGGAAAAGCGAGGGCAGTGTGGAAAGCACAGGGGGAGCTATTATTCATCTTGTCGAAGATGCAGTCAGTGCAGCTATATCGCCTTACATTCAACAACCACTTGGGCACATGGGTTCAAGCTTTGGTACTTTGGAATATGTAGTTGCACAATTATTTCCCTGCGAGGGCACTGATTTTGGTCATACCATCAAACATGCAAGCACCGAGCATTCACACACCACAAACCTTGGAATGTTCTTGTACAAATTGAGCTGATAGGTGTTACAAATGCAAGCACATTCATTAGTCGTCTTGTCAAACATGCAGTTGATACATATATCACCTTATCATTCAACAACTTTTGGGAAAGCAAGTGCATGCACAAGCACTTAGCAAGTGCATGCACAAGCACTTTGCAAGGCACAGCTGTACCAATGTGTTCCAGCACAGGTAGTAAATTAGTCATCTTGTCCAACATGCAGGCAGCAAGCATTCACGTACCACGCCAAGGGCACCTGTCTTCTGCTGCGCTCGCATCTGCCTGAAGAACGGGATGGCATCCCCCAGGGGCGTTGCCAGCATGATGGAGATGAAGAGGCTGGACACGACGATGGGCGTGATGCCGAGCATGGCGATGTTGATGGGCACACTGTCACCGGCAAGGAACATGTTGGCGAGGAGGGTCTGCTCTGCAAAGGGAGAGAAAAGAAGCTGTTGGCAGAGGCGAAGAAGCATGAGATTTGCTAGGGTACAACACTGTGAAATATGTGTAGCTCCTCATTTTGATTGTGTTTGTCACCTGAAAATTGCAAATGCCCTTGCATCAAATTGGCGGTGTCGGGCAACGTTGTGCAATGTTGTTCAGTGCATTCGCAGAGCAGCCACAGTCTAGTCTCAGAGCAGCCACAGTCCAGTCTCAGAGCAGCAACAGCCCAGTCACAGTGCAGCCACAGCACAGACACAGCGTAGTGTCAGTACTCACCTGGGGACATCATCCGCATGTCCTCGGGCAGGTCCAATGGCGTCAGGCCCCTCAGAGGCATAAAGTACTGGATTCGCACCACCGCCAGCATGGCCAGTGTCAGGAAGCAGCGTCCCATCAGCTGCCAGCTTCGCAGGAAAGGGAGCACTGTAGACAGCCACCTCCACAGCCTGGGCTTCACAGATATGAACAAAGAAAGAAATCAACAAGCATAAAGAAGTGAATAAAAATGAAATCAAGAAAGGAAGAAATCAATAACCATAAAATAATCATTGGAAGTCAACAACCACATTACTGCTTGTTGGCTAGATGACTGGGAGGGATTCGTGAGGAAAGCATCGTGCAGTGGCCCTGGTATTGCAGTGTTGAAGAGTGGACGAAGGAAGAAATGTCAAACCACAGTACTAGAATTACAGTCAGTGAAGTCCAGACCAAGAATCACTGATTCTTGGCTGTGGCATTGAATGCAGCAGCCAAGCATCCCAACATTCAAGGATCTCGAGTGAGCCACATCCGAAAGGAAAACAGGACACATGCTGAGGACACATTGAGGCGTGCGGTATAGCCTGTGTATCTTCTCTTACTTTGGCACGATCGAAAAGATTTCATTCATTCAACTGAAAGAAGAATAAGAGATCATTTGTGACAGGGCTTCCTTACTTATGTTCTTGGTAAATATAACTGCTGGGTTCAACATGATGGACACACAAAATCACTCAACAGAAAGGCAGACAAAGAAGACATGGACTGCCCTGCACCCTGCACATCGATCTTCCAGCTGACGAAGGCCACCATACACTCACTTGTCAGGCTGTTGACTGCGTTTGATCTGACAATTTTGATGCAGGAGGTTGGCACAAAATCGAAAGGAAAGATGGCTGATAAAAATGCCCCAGCAGACTGACGCACCAAACCCATGCACCCCTATTCACGCTACTGTAATGGGCACTTTCTGGCCTTGCCAACTTGGTGAAAGGCCTTGCTTAGGTGTGTCTTATCAAGTGCACGCTTTCAATCGAGCGTCATGATACATTCGTTCACCAGAGAAGAGTAGATTGAAAGGAGCAAACAAGGGGGGGCAAGGGAGTGGAAGAAAAAGGAGCAAGGGAGCAGAAGATCAACTGACAAAGAGCATCGATAGCCATCCAAACCTTGAAACGCCCTCCAAAGCAGGAGACACACATATATTTGCTTCTGAGGGGGTGCCCTTTGTGTGGCCTATTTCTCTTATTCTTTGAGGGACTTGTATTTTTGAGATTGTGGGATTGTGTGGGGTAAAACGCATGGGCGGCCCTGGACATGGCCATGATACGCTCTATTGGGTCATGCAGTGCGGTTATAACAAGGACAGTGGCAAGGACATTTCGTCATAACACCACATGTAGGAATTCTTTTCTTGTTTTCCTTTTCCTTTTCCTTTTGCTTTTCCTTTTGCTTTTCCTTTTCCTTTTCCTTTCTCTTTTTCTTTTTCTCTGTCAAAACTCTTACCTGGACCCGGCCCCGCTCCCGCTCGTCCGCACCCCTCCCGCTCCCGCCGCCCCGCCAGCATAAGCAGATCCCATCATTCCCCCACTCGCCCTGCCCCGATCACAAAACCTCCCCACTTTTCCGCGATAGCCGATTCTCCCCTGCCCCTCGCGACCGCCAAACATCGCTGCTCTCTCATTAACCCCAACCCTCCCCTCCCCTTGGCGCCCGACAAACATTGCGGCCCTCTCATGATCGCCAAACTTGCCCCCAAAACCGCCATCACAGAATCTCCTCTGCCTCGCACGAAAACCGCCAAAATGGATCGCCGCCTTTCCCGGCGCCACCACGGGTGCCATCCTGCGCATCATCCCCCGATCATGCCACGCCCCGATCCCCTCTCTCCCGATCCATCCGCTCGCCCGCGCCGGCGCCCGCCCTTCAAATTCCCGCCTCGCTCCAGGCGTCTCATGGAGGGCGGCCCAGCCGGGGAGGGCTGATATTTGATAATTTCGAATTTTCGAATCGGCAGCCAGTTTCTTTTGTCTGCGAAGGCGGCGGCGGGGGGCGGGCGCTCACAGCTTGGGCGGTCCAGGGGGTCCGGCCATGGCCTTGAAGAGGCTCGAGGACGGAGGGTCGTGGTGGCGCCCTTTCCTGTACTAGTAGGTTACCTTTGCTGCTAAAGGTTTAGGTTTAGGTTTAGGAGTGTTTTGGATACCGTTTTCGATCCCGGTCCCGGGGAATGAGTGCGTGGTGGTGGCCGTCGGCGGCCCCTCCGAGGCAAACACAGCTCCCGGCGCCCGCTTCGGTCCTAATAGGTTTCTCTTGTGGCGAAGGTTTAGGTTAGGAACGAATTTGATCCGTTTGTGCATACGGCGTGTGCTCCTAATAGTTTTCCCCTGTGGCGGAGGTTTAGGGTAGGAACGTTTTTTACCGTACCTGTGGACTCCATTAGAGGTCTGTTATGGTGCCCCAAGCGCGCACACGGCGGTCAGCATGACAATGCCTCCAGTGTTCAAATCTCAAGCATCAAAGCGCATAACAGCCCTGGCTACCCTCTATTCTTCTAAGCATACTACCTCTGTTCCAAAAGTCGTGTCCGATCAGCAATTCTTGCTGTTACTTTGCAAGATCAACTCAATCAGTCAATCTGTCAGCAGGTTCAAACTCTTTGGCTTACATGAAGCTGGTATGGATCTTGAATACATTAGTCATCGCCACAAAACACGACAAATGCTCCTTGTGGCCAGCGTTGGGCCTAGAACTCTTTAGACCTATGCGTGCATGGCCAATGTGGGTGGTGGGGGTGGCGGGGCTGCCACACGAATTTCGCGCATCGGCGGCTGTGTCAATGCCTCCAAGCCGCTCTGGCGCCCAGTTGCTCTCTGAGACCAGGCGATACTTTCTGCCGAAATTTGCATGAAGCACGTTAAATGATCAAGCAGTATTGTTACGGCTAGAACTGATTGAGTGTTATAAATAACTGAATGTATGAAAAGATGACGAAGCACTAGGAATTACATTAAGGATGTTGATGAACGGACTGGGTATAAAGGACAGAGCGTCTGTTGTCCTTTTGCCTCGGCTGTAAACCGTTGCCGTGGACTTGAGCGTACGATTCCCGTTCAGGGATCGCCACCCCTCGACCCTGCCTGCCTTCGTCATTTGGCACCCGAGGCAGGGGGTGTGCAAGTCGAGACACGGACCAGGTTAGCCTGTTGCAACCTGGGGCGGACTGAGTGCCAAGAGCACTAGAGTTCTACGTTGCCCAGGCGACGTTTCCGAGAAACTTTTTGGGATCGAAGATTCAAGACATCCATCGAACGGTTGGTTACGACGGGACTCTAACGACCCAGAGTCCATTTCGTGTGGCCCTTCTGGAGTGTTTTGGCAAGAGCGCCAGCGGTGATCAGCTGTCGCTAGGCGTGGGGGTCAGTTTTGGGTCAAGGCTTCCACCGTTGACTTGAATACGGAGAGAATTGTACGTTGCGAGTGAGTCCAACGGGCAGTGCGACAACGTGTCACTGGTGCGCCGTAGCAGAGTGGCTCAGCCGCCGCCAAAGGGATCAATTCGCTGACTGATTGAGCCTCCTCCCAAGGGACGACGCGCAGTGCAGCACCACTCTCGTAGTGCTGTGCTACGGCTTGGAACAGTACGACGTGTTGTGCTGCGACGGTGTCGGCGATTCATTGTGGTTGCTGATGTGTCCAAGGGATCACGTGTTTGCCACACAGCACACACGTCCCCACAGTGAGGATTGCGTGACAAGGAGTCAGCAGGACAGCAGCTTGTGTCAGCTTGTGTCAGCTCGTGTCAGCTTGTGTCGGCTTGTGTCAGCCAACGGTGTAATCCTACAAGGTGGCACATCGTGCTGATACAGTGAAGCGTCACTGTTGGTGTCGAGCGAGCAACGTGGCAGGGCGCGAGCGGCCCATGTGGCAGTGCTAGTACATTGAAGCAACATGGTGCACGGTGTCAAACCAAAGGCACGTCCCTTCACAGGAAGGGGAGAAGACCCAGGGGTATGGGTCAAGCATTTCCTACGGGTAGCAAGGAGTAATGGCTGGGACACGTCAGCAGCAAGGATTGCTAATGCTGCTGTAGTTTTTGAACAAGAGGCAGAGACATGGTACAATAGTAGAGCAGCACATTGGGAAGGTGACGAACGTACATGGGATGAGTTTGAAGCTGCATTTGTCACAAGATTCAGAGCACCTGGGTATTTGGAACAGATCGAGTGTGCTTTGCATGACCCAAAACAAGTTGAAGATGAATCAGTGGCCTCTTATGCTGAGAGGTACAGATGTTTGCATGCTGAGCGGGAAGCACTTGATGGGGATGCACTTCCCATCAGTGCACTTCGACGTTATTGGGTCATGGGCTTGAAGAAGGAATTCCGCTTGGATGTTTTGAAAGCGGATATTCCTGATTTTGACCATGCAGTGGCAGAAGCCAAGCGAGTAGAGAAAGCAACGCTTCTCATGGAAGGGAAGTTGCCAGCAGCTGGCGAGCTTATGAGAAGTCGAGCCATGACGTCAGACAAAACCGACATTGATGGGCTGCAGCGAAACGTGGAGAAGTTGGCACAATCAATGAGTGAGCTCACTGCCATGATGGTCACATCGATGGGCTCGAAAGACCGTGCAGAATCGAGTCCTTTTCCTGGAAATTTTGGGCCAGCCAATCGTGGCAGAGGTCGTGGAAGAGGTGGAGGACGCATGACTTGGAGAGAGAATCAAATTGGTGGCAGAGCTGACTACAACAACAATTGGCATCAAGACAGTGACCAAAACAATGTTGGTAGAGGTCAGCCACTGACGGGAGCGAATGCAACACCTCTTGGAACGGCTGCAAATGTCCGAGCTGAGGACATTCGGGGTCCTGATGATCCATCTCAGAGCCATCAACGACAATCATCAGGTCGTTGCGTAAATGGCAAAGGAAGCCATGATGCTATGACAATGGAACTGGAAGCATTTGCTGGTGAAGAAGCGATTGAAGAGGACAAAGAAGAACCAAGCAAGAAAAGAGTCCGTGTCAGGCGTGTGGGAGAACGGAAGAAGCGTACTCCATTGACAGAAATTGTGTGTGGCCGGGGGAAACCCAAGTTCCAAGTATCTGAAGCTTTGTTCAATCTACCAGTTTCAATTTCGCTGGGACAGCTGCTCCAAGTATCCCCAACAGTGCGACGTGAATTGCGCACTGGGATTGCCTTGGATAGGCCGAAGAAAGCAAAGCCAAAAGGAGAAGCTATGGATGTGGAAGGCAGCTCACAACCTCAAGGTATGAGCAGTGCACAACCAGGCGCAAATACACAACCAGTCACAAGAGCACCAGAAGTGATGGCAGCTGAGGCTAACAAGTTGACAACCGAAAAGGCAATCAGAATTGACTGCCACATTGCTGATCGAGCCTGCCAAGGGGTTATAATTGACCCTGGAGCAATGTTGAACTTGATGGAACCAGATGCAGCAAAAACGTGTGGATTGCGTGTTTTGGGTCCCAGTGGTGCTGTGGTGCGTATGGCAGATGGTGGGCGGCGACCTTTGCTTGGCTACGTCAAAACCCATGTTGATGTGGCTGGTGTCTCCACAGATGTTTTGTTCCATCTGATGCACACCAACGCAGGATACCCAGCACTTCTTGGTAAACCATGGTTGAGGCTTAATCAAGTGGTGTCATTCTGGGGCACAGATTCGCATTTTATTCAGAATGCCGAGGGCAGCTTCTTGCCATTGGTGGGGGTACCGACACAGCTCACTGACTCTGAGCGTGTTTGTGAGTTGCTTGATTGCATTACTCATGAGACGGGAGCAATCGCTGGCGATACTTCAGTGGCGACTAGTGAGTCTGATGACTCCGATGATTATGAATCAGACAGCGAAGTGACCGAAGAAGAAACAGAATCAGAAGAACTGGAAGAAGAAGTAACGGAAGGATATCTGGTGCTGGTGGGTCGTGAAATCGATTCTGATGAACGACATGGGCTGACCGAAATGCTGCCGGTACAAGATGAGCCCAAAGGAAAGAAGACGTTTTCTGAGTCAAGTGGCAACTCTGGGCTGGTTTATGATGGTTTCCCGCCAGAAGTGGAAGCAGATGCAAAAGACGTCAGCCAGAACACCAAGTGGATAAACAATCAAGAGGCAAGTGCCATCCACAGGGCTGTGTTGGCTACTGAGTTCGAAGAGACTACATTGAGCATCGCCTTGGATGATGTTTATGGAGGAGGAATTGAGAGCAATGCTCCAGCTGATGACTCCAAAAGAACCGGTGGGATGAATTCTGAGAGTATGGGGCTCCTGTGGGATGTTCGCAAGGCAGGTTGTGCTGTACAACCAGTGACGGCTGATGCAATTTATTGCAGGTCACCGGTTGTTGATTGTTTCCACATCACAGTGGATAATGTCGACACTTTGAATATTGGTGACGCAGCAACACCTGAGCAGCGATCAATATTCAACACCCTCGTGTGTCGCTATGGAGACCTGTTTGCTCATGAATTGAGCGAATTGGGTCGCACAAATCTGGTGCAATGTGACATTGAGCTGCAACCTGGAACCAAGCCCATGTGTACAAGAAAGAGTCAACGTTGGCCACCAGAAATCGAGGCCTTTGCAAGGACTCGCTGTGCTGAGTTGTTAGCAGCGAACATGATAGAGGAGTATTACGGTCCATGGGGCGCAGGGACGATTTTCCCCAAGAAGAAGTCTGGTGCATATAGAATGTGCCACAGCTACTGTCGATTAAATGAGGCAACTGTTCCAATTCAGTGGCCAATACCCAATGCTGAAGCGTGCTTGGACAGGCTGGCTGGAAGAAAATACTACTCAGTGCTTGATGGTTTCAGTGGCTATTATGTGGTGGAGC